AATTTTAAATCAACAAAAGCACAACTACCACCAAATCTTCGCTGAGGTAATTATAACCATTCTACCTCACTAGTCAATAGATGAATGGCACTTAATGGGGAGGAGGCATATCAATGATTTTTTAATATTATAATATGGAGCATTTCACATACAGTAACAGAGGCCCCTAAGTGGAGATTATATTATACATATTTAACTACAGTGAGCAACAATAACATCTTTTTTCGTTCATGCATTTTACAATTTATTTTTTTACATAATATGCCTTTGGGCATGTTATCTTGGTTTGCATGTATGAGTGTTTTCTTCATAGGATATGAATAAAATATAAATATCAAATTCGTATTATATATTGATGTGCTATTAAATCCTTTAACAAAAAGGTATTTAACATGAATCAGGGATGTCTGAAAGTCTTTAAACTACCCATTTTTTCCCTATGAAAAGAAAACTGGTTAGGTGCTATGAATTTTCTACCATTTTGGATAATTAAAAAGAGGCTACAGTAAAGTGTGATTAAACCACAAAAAATTTGAAGGCCCAGGAAAAATTTGCAATAAATGAATGGGACATTGGGTATTTTTATATTTCTCTGGTTCTGGTTACTTTATATAATCAGATTAATAAACTGTTCTCCTCCCATTGTAATTTCATTCTGATTCAAGAGAGCCAAAACTGGAAATTGTGAGAGAAAAAATGTTTTCATGAAAAATCCGCCATTTGGAGGCTAACTTTACCTTGCTAAACACAATACAGGTAGAAGATTGTCACCTTTAAACTTATTTTAAAGTATCTGGGTCCAAAAGGGGACATTCTGTTCTGAGTCTTGATATAATGATTGTGTAATAAACTAGCATGTAATTTTATAATAATTTCTGAAAAAATATTTTAAAAGTTTAAAACTATTCTAATGTTACTGTTTCTGTCTTGTAACTATGCAAAGGCAAAGGTGGCTGCTCAGTAATCATAGGACCCAGTTCTGCAATCATCTCCACATAGGCATAGACCTGTGCCCCTCTGGACGTTAGCTTCTGTACAGCTCTTTGTAGAACTAAAGCCTTAGAAAGTCCATTCTTTTGTAATTACATCAAGGAATTTTGGCCTAGATTCACAAAATATTTAGGTGCCTGATTCCCTGTTAGAGAAGTGAGTGAATACAGTGGTTGTGGGTCCTTGGAAACGATATTGTTTAGTGGAAAGAGCAGCGTGCTCTTTTAATTTTAATTCTATTTACCAACAACAAAATTTGATTATATACAGAACTAAAGATTGCCTTATTAAGTCAATTAGTAGCATCAAATCCAGCTTACATATTGGGAAAATGAGACTCAGAATCTTATTTCGAAATAGCTGATTTTGAAATAGGGTATGTCTCCACTACAAAGTTAGTTCGAACTAACGGACATTAGTTCGAACTAAGTTTCATAGGCGCTACACTAGCACTCCGTCAGTTCGAATTTAATTCGAACTAACGGAGCGCTTAGTTCGAACTAGGAAAACCTCATTTTACGAGGATTAAGCCTAGTTCGAACTAGCTAGTTCGAATTAAGGGGTATGTAGCCCCTTAATTCGAACTAGTGGGAGGCTAGCCCTCCCCAGGTTTCCCTGGTGGCCACTCTGGCCAACACCAGTGAAACTCTATGCCCCCCTCCTGGCCCCGGACCCCTTAAAGGGGCACGGGCTGGCTACGGTGCCCGTGCCAGGTGCAAGCCTGCCAGCACCCAGCCAGCAGACCCT